AAAAAAAAGGGGACTCATGTCTGTGCGGTGATCTATTTGTCCTCTGAGGCCATCACAAGTTGTCACAGTGTGCCCTGGAGGTGCTCACCTTTCTGGACTCTCAACAACTCAGCACTGGGTCACACGGTCTGGTGTTTGGAGACAGGGTCTCACTATGTAGTGCAGGCTGTTTCGAACCCACCAAGCTGCCCTCCGCTCTGCCTTGTCACTGTGGACAAGGCCCCAGCAGTGCATGAGTGCAGAAGAGATGCAGGTCCTGCCTGTCAATTCAGGTGGCCTTTTGGCCTTTGCAGCCCACATGCCACATCCCACCAACCAGACCATGCCCCTCGCCGGATACTCCAAGGAGCCCAGGAAGCAGCCTGCTTCAGTTCAGTATATTAAATAAACCATTTATTCAGGAGCAACAATTAAGCAATCATAATGCAGATTACAAAAACAAGCATAGCCCTCACCCAGGTTCAGGGGTTCAAGGGTAACAAGGGACCACCAGCCCCAGGACAGGCGTGGCTGCGATGATTGACCCCGTGTGTGCAGCTCGGCCCCTTCCTGCTCCAAGCCCACAGCAGCTGCGCAAGCCCCAGAGCCACCAATACTCCTCCCTGCCCTTGCCTGGGAGCCCCTCTCTTGGGGTGGTTCCAAAGGGCTCCCGGGGTCACGTCACAGCTTCTGCAGGAGGAGGACAGAGTCAGGACACCAGATGTGTGGCCGGGCACCTGCTCCAGAATTCCCCAGGAGGCCCAAGCCTAGGTCACACAAGCAGGGGAGTCTGCACTGGTGGTGGTGACCAGCCCCTCCCCACACCTGGCCACTGGAGACTGGGGCAGAGGAGGTGGCACAGACTTGAAATGGTCCCTTGGCTAGGGAGCTCCCCAAGAGGGAAGTAACAGTCGCAGAAGAGGCAGGTGCTAGAGCGAGGGGGACAGGACAGTGGGCTCCAGTTGGCCCCTAGGCACATTTCATGGGGTTCCCGCAGCTATCCCAAGTGGGTGAGGTGGCCTCGCTGTGCCACCCTTGTGAGGTATTGAGCTTCCCCCCACCCTCCCCTCCCCTGTGGCTGCACCCTCTCCTTCCCCCGTGTGGTGACCGGGTGGGCAGCAGCCTACGGCCCCATGAGGACTTATGTAGGGTCCAGCTCGAAGACCCCGTCACTGGTGGGAGTGGTGAAGAAGGATGGGGGGTCAGAGGTGTCGGAGCTCTGGCCACGCATGCGCCGTTCCTCCAAGCGCAGGCTGCGCTCGAAGTCCAGCAGCTGCCCCATGAAGTTGAAGTTGGGCGAGATGTTTGACTTCTTCCTCTTCACCAGGTCATAGGCATCATTGAGGGACAGGTGGAGCTTCTGCATGAGGTAGGCCACGGTGACGGTGACAGAGCGGCTGACCCCTGCCAGGCAGTGGACGAGCACCCCGCAGTTCTGGGACAAAGCCTCATCTAGGCAGGACAGTGTGGGGTCGGTGACCTGAGTGAGGCCATGCCAGCCTTCCCCCGAGTGCCATCTGGGAAGGGGAAGGGTCAGGCCAGGCTGGGGGTGGTGGCGAGGGGGCATGGGACTCACCAATGAATGTAATGGCCTCCGGAAAGAACTGGGACAAGTTCTGGCTCCAGTGGTCCGAGATGGGGATCTGCTTGTAGTGAAAGTCACCGTTCTTCTCGAAGAGGTTCGGGAGGTTGGGGGTAACATTGAGGATGTAGCGGATGCCTAGCTTGGCCAGGCTTTCCAGGTTGGCCGAGTCCCGAGCACTACCCAGGTAGAGGTTGGGCAGGATCTGGACTGGGAAGGAGGGCAGCAGGCCCATGGGTGGGGGTGTGGTGCCTTCTGAATCCATGCTACAGCTCATGGAGTCGCGTTCGGCCTCGGCCTCGACATCAGAGTAATCGGTGCTCAGGCACAGGCCTCCCAGCCCCACCACCGGCACTGGGCTGGGCATCGGCACCAGGCTGGAGCCCCTGCGACTGCTGAGGCTGGTCTCACACAGGTGGGGGCACTCGGCCTGGAACCTGCTGAAGCCACCTGTCGGGGGAGAGAGTCCTGCTGCTGACCACCAGCTGAGTGCCCATGGCAGGGGACAGGAAGCCGCCCCGGGGATCGGTGGAGGTCCACAAAGGCAGAACACAAGGCCAGCAGCTTCATGTACACTGTGGGTGGTGGGCAGCTGTTTTGCTGCAGGCCGAGCCACCCGAGTGTGATAGTCCCTGAAGCCCCATCTCTGTGGTCTACAGCACAGGGTCTCTGCCTTGGGGCCAGGGCGGGTAGCCTGAAAGCCTGTCACTTCTATATTTCTCTGTCCCCAGTGCAGCCCCAGGAACTCTCCTGAGCATGGGGAAGGATGGTTCTGTGGGTTGGTGGGAACCTTGAGCCTGTGCTGGTCCCTGGGGAGAGGCTTCAGGGCTCAGCAAGGAGCTGAAAGTCTGTGGCAGCCACAGCCTCTGACAGCCTGCTTGTCCTGCGCTTGGCCCCTTGGCCTGCATGGCTTGTCCAGGAGTCCTCTGACAGCTGATCTCCTGCTGCCGGCCCAACTCTCTGCCCCACACTATGTAGCCCAAGGAACCCTGGAACTCGATGGGTTCCTCCTGCCTCGGCCTCCTGACTGCTGGGAGTGAAGTGCCTACCCATGGTCACACACACCGGCTCCCTCCCTTCAAAGCAGCTTGGCCTGAGACTGGGACGGAGTCTAACCCCCACATCCACTTTAGCAGCAGTGAGATGGGGTGCCCAGGGTCAGCCAAACGTGCACCCCCAGAGGCCCCACTCCCACCTGCTGCCCCCACCTACCCTGAAGGTAGTAGGCCAGGTAGCCTTCCTCGCGCAGCTTCTGCAGCAGGGTGCCCAGCAGGGAGTCAGCCTCCCACTCCTCGGTCTC